GGCGACAGCAACAGTAACCGTATGGAATTGAGACATTTGTAATGAAGATCGAATGTCGATGAGATTTGAATTGTTACTTCAAATTAAATAATCTCATAGCATGCCAAGATGTAAATGCAACTAATGTATTTTAGTGTGCAACAACTGACATTTTTCGAAGCAGCAGTTGCACACGGATAACAGCATTTAGGTCTTTCTATCGACTTTGTATATTTTCTGAAAAAAAAGATACCAGTCTGGGAATGTTTCCAGAATCGTATATGAATTAGTAATACAATCGTATATAGAATTAGTAATACAGGATCGTATGAATTAGAATTAATAATACGAATTAGTAATTAGTAATGCGTATATGAGATTAGAAATTAGTAAAAAAATGGATCAAATATTGAGGTTTAATTCCTACAGCACCATAGTAAACGCGTCTTGGATGTCCTTGGAAATGTACATATTACGAGTCTGATCATCGTACGTATTGTAGTGAGAAATCAGGAATTTAACTGAAAATAGGAGAAGGTGCAACATATGCGAATATTTACATAACAAAACTGGAGAATTATAACAACAGAAATACACCACACGTTACAGTTGTCTGAAGGAAAGAATAAATAAATGATCAAAAAGAGAATGCTCAGTTTATATCATTGAAATTGAAAATTGGATGGAGGCACCGTGGATTTCGTAATGAAGGAAGGTATAGCATCCACCAATGCACCCTCATTTCTAGGTATTATTTCAGAATATGACCTTCTCACAACACAATAATATTAAATTTCCATACAATTTAAATAATTCTCAAAACCATTTGCAAGAAACACTTTATTATATCCTTATCAGCATCTTGCACAATTTATCATTCTACTTTCTTCATTTAAGCTCCAAATGATTTCCACAGATGCTGTGCATGATTAAGTAAATAAAACCAGAAAATACAAACTGCAATCAAAAATAACTTTAGCAGTAAGTTTCCAAAAAATCAGCCTGAGATATCCCAACCGTGGATCAGAAATTCTATGTCTTCAGTAACTCCTCATCTTGTTCGAACAGTAAACGTTCATAAGACGGGGTCGGTACAATTTTTGTCAAATTTGTAGGAAACATGAAAGAAATCATTATAACCTAAAAATTAATTTTTTTTTGATTTTACCCAAGAGAATATTACAAATCTGATCAATAAGAGAAATTCAAACATAAATTCTGGCAGTCTTGAAAAAGATTCGTTATTGTCGAAAAAAGTTCAACATATAATCGATGAGTCCATAAGATTCATCGATTATAGCATATGTGCGTAACGCAGGAAAGTTTCAACAAAGTTCAAAGTTTGTGAATACTGAAACTGGAGCAATGGTAGTGATTGGACGTCATGTTGTCGACGGCTTTCCATTTCTAAACGCTCCATACTAATAGACAGCTGATTGGGAGGCACTTCAAGACTTCCACGACTTATCTGTCGTTCCTCGACTTTCACCAATTCTGTCCAATCTGATATTTGCGACTATAAAGTTTGGTAATTATTTGTAAAGCAATGGACATCCGATAACCAACAAACTAACATCTGTAAGAAAGAATTACAAACAATCACAACTGCGATTCAAAAACTTATTTACTAGTGCGTAATCGAAATCCAATAACTGCCATGCTTTTTGTTTGGCGACTTTTAGTAGGAAGACAGTAAAACTATAACAAAGCTTCATTTATTCTGCAACCCAAGCCAAATCCAGTCCGAACTGGATTTGAAATGGAAATTCGAAATACTCAAACTTCAGAATGAAGCTGATTCAAAAAACAACTACTTAAAGTTGGGCCAAATTAAGTTGAACTGAAGTCGGATTTTTTTTTTCATGAAGAATCAGTGTGATCGACATTTCATCAAGAAAAAACAGTAAGAAAGCCCAGAAGTCTAGAAATGGAGGATACCAAATTTTTACATCAAAAATAGAATAAGACTGCACTTAATATTTTAAATAACTTAAATAACCTAATCGTTAGGTTTTCGATAAGAGGAGTTTTCAACAAAAAAGAATACCACAGCACCTGCAAGGGTTGAAGATAATGCTTATAAATATTTAACACCAATTCTGGATTCATCCTACGCAGCGCCTGTTCCTGAGCAAATATGAAGACAGACAAATAGTACTGTAATCCATCGCTGAGGCATGGATAACGTATATTAATTATATCACACCAGAAATAACCAAGTTCTCTACGAAACACCTCGTAATTAAGCTTGGAACGGAATAAATCGATAATCCAAGCAAGAAGTTGTGCTTCAAATTTTAATCTGAAATAAAGCAACAGTTTTAAAAGATTTGGTCTTCATGATTTCGGATCTTCATTTGTTTACTCAATTTCGGACGCTACTTGCTCTTCAAATGAAACTAGCTTATAATGTTAAATTGTAAAAATTACAAGCTGATCATTTTTTTATGGATCAAACAAATGAGAAATGCAAACAAAGTTTACTTAAGTCGGAGCTTTTCCAACCAACTTCAAAGAAAAAACTTATGTACCCACAACTTCTCAAAAAAGAACAATATTTAAATAAAAATAGTGAACCTCATGTGATTCTGAC